TAAAATAATTATTTTCACATTAAATGCAAAAACAATTAACTCACAAGCGCACGTATATCAAAGAAACCGAGTGATTTGACGAGGATATTTCCAGAGTCGAGCCGGATCGGAAAACGCGCCAAGCATACAAATAACCTGGCTTGTTGCTCGTTACTCGAGTCAATGCTCGTATTTAGAGACTAATATTTCGCTGACACTTTCCTCGTATCGATAATTGCTCGTATCTCGAGGCTCCACTGTTCTTGAAATAGAGTTTAACTAGCACGTTGCAATTTGGATAATTCAGGAATTTTCACTTAACCTCTTAGCAGAGTATCTTCTATATGGTAGACAAAATATTAGAGCAATATTTAAGATAGTGGATAGGATTTAGCATATTCATGTTACCTATAGCAAGGATTAACGTAATGAAAGCACGAATCTGTAAACTGACTGCCACTTAAAATTTGTTTCAGAAAATTTTGTTCCCAATTGTTTAAAATTTTAATGCACATTAGGATTAAAGTTTTCATAAATATAACGCATCAAATCTTCATCTGGTTTTGCTATACCACTGGCATACCAACATAGCAAATTTAAAAGAAATACAAGTAAAGTACTTTGAAAGTTGAGCATTTTTAGATAAAATTATACATAGCAAACCTGTTTAATGGTACATGCATGAAACAAATTTTGTTGGAAAACATTTTGTTAACCATTTTTAAAGAAAATTATAACTTTGAATCAATTTTTGCTTCGAATACTTTACAGTAACAAAATATTTCGTTGCTAATATAAGGAGTCTGGAAACGTTTTAGATTTACTAGAATTTCTCATGCTAAATATTAGAAAGGGGATTTTTCCCAAATTAAAAATGCCTTTTTATAGTAAATTTTTGAAGCTTTACGTTTCCGATAATTGCACAGTCAAGGCAATTAAACAAAAGAACTATGAAAAGAATGTCCAGTATTAGCATGAAAGCTATAATCTGCGGATTGTTTGTTCTTTGTGGACTATTATTCGACAGGGTAGAAGGCGGGTAAATAGAGTTTCCTTCATGTTTAAACATGAAGGTCTATGCATCAACCTATGCGTAAAAGCAGTTTTCTTTCTGAAATGGTCCACGGAAGTATACTAACCATTTTTTCAAGCACGCAACGCAGGCGAGTTTATTTACGTGATATTATCCATCATATTCCTTTCACACAGCCGACTGCAAGATTTCTACTTACGTCAGTAATTACTCAAATAATTTGACTTTGAATAATTATTTAGATTATAAAGTTCCAAGTTAATTCCTTGAGCAAGAAGGGGAAAATATAGGTATAAACATTCCGTTAAGAAACATTCCAATACATGCAGTTTTGCACAATGTAGCTTAGTAAAAAATTTAAGGAAATAATTTTCTCTTGAGCGAACAGTCATCAATTCCTTCGCCATTTACAAACTTAAGATATGCACAACGAATGTTCTTAATGCGAAAGTTTGAGAGAAGCGGGAATCTCTGAACTAAACACTTCCATTTTAAGACATTTCGGAAAAACTGCCATAATTTCCAAAATCGGCAATATGAAAATACAATTTTTTTTTTTGCAAATCTATATAAGGTCAAGCTGCTTTAAGATATTTTGGCAAAGCGTTCAGAGGCTATTTGCTTTCCCAGGGATATTTTCGGGGCAATACTCTGAAAAACTGGTTTAGTTTATTTGATTGCAGCAAAGAACACGAGGGCTTGAGGAGAGGGATGACTTCGTGAAGGACTAAGGGAAACTGGCTCGTATACACGAATATTCTGAAAGAAAACAAGCTTCTATTCACATCAAAGAATAGTGGGAGACCCTACGACTAGGCCAACGCAATCTTAGAAAAATTATTAAGTTAACCAAACAGCAAATCTTATGAGGGCTATCGACTGGGATAAAGAACACTTTTAGTGGAGGCTTTTCTAAGGGAAACTGGTTCATATTCATGTTGCACATAGGAAAAATCACAAAAACAATAAAACCAGCTTGTTCGCCTGGTTTTTAAACCTAGTTGAATTCTTAATATTCAGCCGTCTTCACCGCTCGTCGATAACAGACACAGGACGAATTATCAATTTTCATGGGCCGTAACCAACTATAGAGTGCGGCAGCGTTCATAGCAAGATATTAAAAAACACACCATAAGGCAGTAACTTCAATTTATTCGTTACCTCCTATGTCAATAGTTAAAGGTACGCCATTTACTAATGTGCAAGTCACTGTCCATTGCGTGGATTACTTTTTGAATATGATGCCTGTCAAATGATGCCCCCTTTGCACAACACATTCATCTAGGCGGCGCTGTAAGCTTGCCGTAACTCAGTGTAACATATTCTCTGGGACATTGCCGACGGCAGTTCAGATGCGATCGTTCAATTCAGGAATGGTGGCACAACGTGTTCGGAAAACTTACTTCAAGTCAGGACTTATCCCTGCTTCAGGTTGCCCCAAAGAAAACGTCTTCACATGAAAGATCAGGTGAGCGAGGCGGCTAGGAAATGTCACCACAACGGGAAATTACACTTCCTGGAAATGTGTCGCAATGGTCCGTCCATTTGGAACTTTCCCATGACGTTCCAAGCTAAAATGTTGCCGAAATAGACGCTGGGTAGCAATAACACTAGTTATTCTTGAAATAATTTTCAGCAGCAAAGGCACTATGCTGTGCACTTTACCGATCCATATCACTGTCACTTGAAATAGCAGCTCATTAGTACAACAATGCGGCACGAGCTGGCCCGCATTCATGAAGTAAGTCATTGTGCTACGCAAGTTAAATTACGCTATGAACGTTGCCGCACTCTATTATACTGTTACGTAACAAATGCTTTCGACTGTCAGTTTTACTTTGACAATTTTTGATTAAAATGAGAGAAATATCAAGCTGTATGGCGTTGTATTGTAAGTATTACTAATTTTAGACAGTGTCCACAAAAGTCTCGTAACTATTCGTTAAATATATAAACAGCATTTGAATATTTAGTTTATATCTTCCCTTAAAAAATGGAAATATTGTTACATTTCAGCACTAGTTAACAAACAAATTATAAATTTTATTTCATTTTTTAAATATGGAGCATGAACAAGAACTTTGTCCCAGTATTTAACTGAAATTTAACTTCACCGACTAGGTCAAAATCTGAAGTTCGCAAACTCATATAGAGCGCATGATTCTGCAATACCTTGAAATCACACGTGTTCTAAAAATGCAACTTTTTGGCTAGGTGTTTGAAAATTGCTGAAATACATGAACACTCTTGGGGGAAAATGCCTTCGCGGAGGACTTTATAAGGAAAACCTAGGGAACACATACTTAAGTCTTTGTTTAGATTTGAAAACAGGGTTCATGATTTTGTCCACTTGGCTACTGATGAGCCTTCCACTTTACTAAATTAGAATCAAAAGTTCTTTTGGTTGACAAACTGAAGTTAAGCACTCGCGTGAGGAAGCATTTCATTACAAATTGTTTGGATGAATTATACGCAGAATTCTTACTTCCAAAGCATTAAAATGTTAATTATTCAAAGTAATGGAGTGAATGAAAAACACATTTAAAAATTCCTGTCTTGACCGAATATATAGGAATATTTTATGTATTTTTCCAGTTTTTTTAAGGATGAGTACTTCCTGTAGAAGGAAGAAATGTTAACTTCAGACGTACAGTGGATGGACAAAAATATGGAAACACCTTGTGAAATGCATGTTTGAAAAGAGTGATTTTAATGAAATATGTAGGTGGCGCTGGCGTTTTTAACTACTGACGCCACCTATATAACTTCGTAAATGTGCTAAACAATTCAGTTGTCGGAGTACTGTTATGTGAGGTTGTCATTGCATTATGTCAGAATTAACAGACTTCGAACGTGGGCAAATTGTTGGAGCACATATGGTAGGTGCTTCCGTAAGCAAGGTAGCTGAGGTGTTTAGTGTTTCAAGAGGTACTATATCGAAGATTTATTCCGCATATTTGAAAAGCGGAAAAACATTTGCTAAATCACAGCGCGGACGAAAGTGTGTCCTGAGTGGTCTTGACAGACGATCATTAAAAGCAATTGTGACGAAAAATAAGACCACAGCTGCAAAAGTTACTGCTGAAATGAATGTTGTGTTACCGAACCCTGCGAGTACCAAATCAATTACTAGGGAGCTTCATAAACAGGGAATTGCTGGCCGTACTGCAATTGAAAAGCCACTCATCAGTGATGCTAATGCCCGTAACAGGAAAAGGTGGTGTTTAAGTCAAAGCCTGGACTATAGAGCAGTGGAAGCGAATATGGTCTGAAGTCTTCCTTCACATTGTTTCCCACTTCTGGCCGAGTTTACGTCTGGAGAACGCCATCTCAAGCTTATAATACAGACCGCTTGTTGCCAAGAATGAAACATGGCGGGGGTTCTGTTATGTTTTGGGCAGCCATATCGTGGTTCTCTGCTAGCCCCATGATAACTGTCAGGGCACATGACTGCCAAGACTTATGTGAACATTTTGGCCGATCAAGTTCATCCCATGGTACAAACTTTGTTCCCCGATGGTGATGGTGTCTTCCAAGACGACAAAGCCCTGTTTACACAGCTCACATTGTCCAGGACTGGTTTTCTGAGCACGAGGATGATTTGTCCTATGTACCCTGGCCACCACAGTCACCAGACGTGAATATTATCGAACCTTTGTGGTCTACATTGGAACGGAAAGTACGTTCTCGTTATCCACCGCCAACATCGTTATCTGAACTTGCCACCGTTTTGCAGGAAGAATGGTATACTCCCTTGGGAAATATACAGGAACTGTATTCATTCCGAGAAGACTGCAAGCTGTTTTGGATGCCAACGGGTTTCTTACACCATATTAAGCAAAGAAACATGTTTTTTAAAGGGGTTTCCATATTTTTGTCCAACCCCTGTATGTCGCAAATTAAAAATAAGCAAGTAAATCTGGATGTCAACATACCATAGCAGCAAAACTACTGAATTGCTATAAACTAAATAATGCTTCAAAACGCATTAAAATTCCAGGCGTTTTATTGTTTTAAAACTCGTTACATAGCATAAAAATTCATGACAATGACATACATCGTATTCATATTGAGCATTAAAAGTTTAAGACATTTCAGTATAAAAACTCCAATAACATTACGTCATAAAATAAAAGTAAATTAAATAAAATTAATATATGAAGTGAGAAATTAAAGTACAAAAATACATTTTGAAGTTCTCATTTGTTTGAATATACGTCAGTTAATTCGTGGCACAGAACCTGGAATCAGACTTGAGCTAGGCATCTATTTCCTTTTTGTACAAATCCAGTAATATTTTTTGCACCTGTAGAAGTTTCGCCTCGCGTTCACAAGGATTGAAAGGTGGAACTCTTCGGTTGTCCTTCGAGTCTTCAGATCGTTTGTGCTTGTGCCATTCTCTGAAAGCAAAGAAAATTTACTTACGAGTGCAAAGACTGGATCAAATTAGAAGTACTTGATTTACACTGATAAAAGGTGTCGCTACTAATTTATGTATGGTATATCTAATTATAGCAAAGCACTCAAATTCCATCTGCCTAAGAGGGATGCCTTTATGGAGGAATTCTTAAGGGAACTGGATCATACACAATGGCAAAGCTAAAGCCCATGCAGCCAGCCCGTTCGCCAGGATTTGAACCTTGGAGCGAACTAACAACTAAGTATTTTAGAGCAATAATACCGAGAGGAATTTCAGAACTTCAAGATTTACACATCACAGAGCAGTATCTGAATAAAGCACGAAAGCAGAACTTCACAGCGTTCTTTGCTAAGGGCAATTTTAGAAAACCATTTAACAATGGACATATTGCCAAGATCTAATGAAACCAAAGAAAGTTGATAATTATCTGTTCCTCAATTAGCAACTTAATGTATTACTTTGAAAATTGAATACATGCATTTTTGCTAGTTAAGACTGTACTTAAATCTTACTTATTCAAATGAAGATTCTGGAAGGCGAATAATTACAAAGTGGGTCATTTCATGATTCTGAAGGTTAAGTTTGGTTTAATTATGACAAAGCACGAGAGGGCTATCTGCCCAAGAGGACTTGCTAAGGTTAACCGTCTCCTATACAGACTATACATGGGGGCGGAATCCACGAAAACGCCTATGCAGCCAGCCCGTTAGCCTGAAATCAAACCCAGGCTGGAAATTCCATTGTTCAGCAACTTTACCACCAGGCTGCTGGTAGGCAGAAGGTTAACTTTTGGAACCAATGGAAGTGCAGAGATTACTGTAAATTTTACATATTATAGGAACCTAATTGAAGCTAAATTTCAGTTAATTGAATATGTAGAAACTGAAAGAGCTGCATTCCCTTATTGCTTAGCTATTGAAATACATATATTAACCTCAGTGATTTTAGTCATATCAGAAATAATTGATAACCATTTGCAGATTAAGAGTCCTCATACCAGTCGCATTTAACCACAATCCCTTGTAATTTCGTTAATTATTCGATAGCATAAATTCCCTTTACAAAACTAGAAACATGTTAATAGTTAAATATAACATGCTATTGACACACACATACCAAATTTACCTTACCTGGTCATTGAAAAGTCATCTGAAGCAATCTCGGAAATGAAGTTAAAACAGAAATGCATGACCTGAAAATAAGTATGAAACTTAAAATTTGTTTAATTTGAGAAGACTTAATAGTAAAAAATTAGTTTTCAAAAACTTTTGTTAATACTTGTACATTTTTTGCCACTCCAAAAAAAAAATCAAACCATAAAGAAAGTTAAGAATCGCAAGGACTTTATGCGCAGGTTAGCGTTGGCTTTTAAATTTGACGAAATATAAAAACAGTTCTTTTCTGTAGTTCATTAAATGCTTTACTTTACCTCATATTTAAAATGTTTCTTCAGTGTTAGATTTACTTTACTAATGTATTAGTAACAGTTCTCTTCCATATGCATTTGCAAGTTTTGTATAGAAAAAGATTAAAATCATACGGCTTTAAATTAGATAGGCATGCCACATGAATTTATAAGACTAAAAGCCGCTCACCAGTATCCGAGTGGTTGGTTAGATTAATGTTGCAAAGAACAGAAGGTCCGTTTCCTAGAGGAAAAGATGCCTTCGTGGAGGACTTTAAGGGGAACTGGCTGACAGTCACGTTGCATCGTGAAACTCATACAGCCAGCACATTCTTTCGCTACAGCACCGTAGAAATATGAGAATTTATACGAAATACAAATAGCAGTTTATTTTTTAAGGAATGTAGTGGTAATTTTTGGAAGTATGACCAATTGCTTAGCCTTTATAAAGTTTTACTTCGAGGCCAGCATTCAGCTTGTCATTAAACAATTGGCTGCTAGTGGAGCTAATATTTCTCAGAAGAATTGGCCAAAGAAGCTAGGTTTAAACGCGCATAAGATTCATACGACGGTTGGTTGGGGTTATGTTGCTCTAAACAAAAGGTTGTGTAAAGACAAACACATGCACCACTCAGTGCATACTCGGATTCACATGACAGAATTAAGGAAAATGATTGATATGGAATATTAAGTTTTATTCTATGCAAAAAAGTTAAGTTTATATGCAAAAGTATTAAAAAATTGAATTACCTCTTCCTTATCCCGAAGACGTGTAGGCAAGTCGTGCCTGAAATTGATTTCAGATACAGAATTTAATTCAAAAAAGGACTACTTATTTTAACTAAAATTTGAATTTTTAAGAATCAAAAGTCAAGTGAAATAAAAAGAGGCCATTAATGGAAAAATGCACTCACCCGAAGAGGTACCAATCGTATCCAATGGCGAGATATGCCATTTCAACAGGAGTCAGTGTCTGGTGGATCAAGCCATCTGCCCAGAGTGACAAGCGCAGAAGGGTTATGAACAATGGGGTGCGATCCCATCCGCAGACGCAGTGCACAAGAAATCCACAATTATTACCTATAAGAATTTTCATTAAATTCCTTAACCGATTTTGCACGTAAATTTAGAGGGCTATGAAATTTCAAATTAAAATAAAGTGTTAGAAGAAACCGTTTTGTTTCGTTTTAAACCCAATTTGATTCAAGGCAACACATTCGTCTGCTACACGCAGTTGGTTTTCACTTTCTTGCACACTGTTACGGAAACATTAGGCTAACATGAAGTTATTCAAGTCGATTACTTAATTTACGGGTACAGAAATCTCCACACGCAGAAAGAAACCACGAAGTCGGGTCTTTGTAAAAGACTTCATCCTCGGAACAAGTGACATACATTTTGTACAAATAGCCCGAGCAAAATTCTTGGAATTTAACAGGTCAAAAGCAATAAAATAAGCCAAAGAAAATCACGAATCCACATGACCTATGCAAGTTACTCATTTCTCTGCTGCAAAGGTAGGTGGGTATGCCGCGGTCCACCCTCCTGGCAAGCCCAAGCTCGCCCTAGGGTTTTTCTAGACCGGCCACGAGCAAAGGGAAGGTTTGAGACTGAAAGTTTAGAATTATTGACCATTTACCACCTAGATAATTTTTGGATGCGAAAACGAATTTTGAAGCAATTCACGAATTAAGCTCTATTGAAAAGCGACGAAACAGCTAAAAGAACCCAAGACCTGCTCTACTAAGCAAATAAGCATTTCGCAAGACCTCGCCAGCAAGTCCTTGAAGTTGCCGTCTGGCAAACCCAAACTTGTCCCTGAAATATGAAAGTCAAAAATGAAAGGAAATCAAGCAGCACTGAATATGACAATGCTAGTCCACTATTCTAAAAATATCTTTATCAGTGAAGTAGACTAGAAATGCCTTGCTTCGCGAGGAAATAATAGGGACGCAGACCCTGAATCTTCGAAATTTAATGACAAACTGAAATTTAATCCCCCACAGATCTGATAACAGCGATTGGCAAATTCAGATCAGCACATACGAACAAAATCTTAGAACTGTAAACTGGGCAGAAATGTTAGTGTTGAAAGGCTATTGATTGCTCGTAAGTGTTGTCGAGAAAATTAAATACCATTCAACACGACGGGAACGTTTGATCTAGTTTAATTATGGCAAAGTGAGCTCACGTGACTAACAAGTATTGAGCGATCTCAACCTCCTGGCCATTAATTTGGTGATGTAGTGTAACTCTGCAGAAAAGGAAAAAGGAAACTGCGAAATAGATCCGCGATAAAGTTCAACGCTTAAAATATCAAAACAGTATTTACACCTCAGAAAGAATTTTTCAGTAAGTAAATTCAAAATATGCAGCAGTGATCAATAATTACACAAAATGCTTGCTAAAATATATAGCCCTGTAATAGTATGACAAACTCCAGAAAATTACCTTCCTAAGTACATACGACACCATTAACAAAAGGCTAAAAAACTATTATAATGTAGCTTACGTGCTAAGAACTGATATGCACATGGTTGCTGAAACGTTAAAGGAGCATACGAAAACTTTGTGCTTGTACTGCAAAAATTCAGATTCCAACAAAATTAGACTTGAAGGTGAAGAAATCACTACATATCTGCAGTTTGTTCAACTTTAACTATAGGTGCAGCCAAATTCAAAGTTTGGTTCATTTGATTATGGCAAAGCATTCTACGTCTAGCCAACGTGGAAGGATGCCTCTGGAGGACGTTCTATGAGGAACTGGTTCGTATGCACGTTACACATGGGAAAAACGACGAAAACTCGTATATAACGAGGTTCTCCGGATTAGAACCTTGGACTGAATTACCCGTATTCAGCGACTTACCGCTCAGTAAATTCAAAAATTACACCAATTCCAATAATGGTCGAAGCAGAAGTACTTGGCAACATTTAAAAATATCTTGCACAAGGAATGATACTACAAGCTCGTATACCTGAGCTGAACAACCCTTAATAATAGTAATTAATTTTATGTGGAAAATCTGAATACTTCACAGAAAATATTAAGAATAAGCACAACTTTGCAATCTTACGAAGTCAGTAGGGTTATAAACGGCAATTCAATGATACAGCAGACTTATTAAAAAGATGTTTACTCGTTTAGGATTTAATAAATAGTTTAGAAAGATTTACAAATATGAATGCATGCAACTGATCCATCCAACGGTTGCACTTGACAGTTCCACCAGCGCAAGTACTTCATACTAGAAGAACCGAATATTAAGAAAGGAAATTTAACATTCGAACCAGATGTCCTCGACATTCAATACTGGAGCACAGAAATATGCAATACAAATTTTTTAAATAGGAATTTCTAAAATGAATATTTCAAATTTATGAGTCAAGATCCGATCATATCTGTAAATATTTCAATACAGTTAAAAATTAAGTGATGGTTTTCAGATATTTCACTTATCACAAATAATTAAGTTAACATACCAATATAAAATTTAAAATTTTCAATGCAAGTTTATGAAAGTCCTCGTTCAATAATTGGCAAGAATTTTTATATTTAATACTTTTGTGGAAAAGGTTTTAAAAACAAACTTACCAGAGGTAATAATTACTCTCAGTTGAAGTAAAAGGTATTCTTTTGTTAACGTAACGATATCCCACTCCTAAAATTAAAATTTGTACATTATTCAACTCAATCGTCACCAAGTTAAATACAATGAAATAAACAAATATTCCAGCAAAATTTAACCATGCACAGAATAGCAGTAATGCGTTTTAAATAGCGAGTTAAGAGATGCTAAAAAGATATTTTTTGGATAGATAATATATTTTACCTCAACATTAGTAATGTAAAACATTCTGTTGAGAGGAAGTGTGGAAGTCCTAACCCCACAGAATATTTCTCTTAAATATTTAGCTATACATTCTATACGATTTATGTACCAAGCATAAAAATGAATAGCCAATTTAAATTTTATTAGATGTTTTGGAATGAACTAAGGCAAAGCACGAAAGCTCAATCTAGTTAATCGGCAACACAATGAAAAGAAACATTAAATTTCTTACATTTTTCTTGTTATCACCAGCTTTTCGAAGAGATTTACGGTTCTGTACTCATAGTGCCTTTCTCATACCGCAAGTATTTCATTTGCCAAATAACACGTTTCATCTAGTATAGGACAGGAAATTTGCTTTTATTTTAAAAACTCAAGTCTCTGATTAACTCAAACGCTTACCAGACTTATTATTATTAGCTGCTTTGAAGATAAAAACGTACCCAATTTTTTCAGGCGAGAGTAAATTTAAATTTGGGGTTTTCTGTTAAAGTATATCGATGTTAAAATTTCAACTATTTAAGCATCATAAACTAAATTTTGTGGATAAGGCTTCTCTTTGATTATACATTTAAGTAGTTTGAAAGTTAATCTTTTTCAGTGCTGTATAACGCTATTGCTATGGATAAGACTTAACAACCCTTTAATATTTGGCTAGTTTTAAATAATTATTGGAAGAAAGACTAAATATGCTTTGCGTACGAGCTGATAATTGGTAAATGTGATTCGGATTTCATAGTTAATAGGAGTAGTAAAAAGTAATTGTGTTCATTCCTCACTTTAATTTTGTGAAGATAAATTTAAGATACTTCAGATGTTATAAAATGCAAATTAGAATCATCTTCATCAAACTACAATTTTAATAACGTAATACTTCGATTTTAAGTCACACTTTTATTCATTTTAAAACGCAGAATTAGAATACGGTTTAATTCAAAGGCATTATTTCAACACCTTATTTGTGCTGATCTACTAAATGATAGTATATCTGAAGATTAAAAAGTTAAGAACTTTATTAGCATCTAAATTGAAAAATAGTACCTCGTTTAAATTCGAAGTAATACAGTAACTACACATTCAGCACAATGGTACTGTATAACAGTGTTTGGAATAGGTCGATTTGGTTTATCGAGATCACGGCAAAACACACTAGGGCTATCTGAATATGAAAAGAGTTGCCTTCGTGGAGGATTATCCAAAGGAAACAGGCTCGTGGTCTTCAGAGACTTTACTGCTCGGCTGTTTGTGCACTTTTTTGGAATAGGATTGAATTATTTGGCACAAAACCTGTCAAAGTTATCTGCGCCAGACAAATGGTAACAATGGAATTTGTCATTTGTAAAACTTCCAGGTTAGACAAAAAGAGACGGATTGCAATCTGATAAAAGCCGATATCTTAAAAAACAGGTTAAAGTTTATTATAAAAGCCTATATCTTTTATAAAAAAATTACGATGACGTGTTTTTCCAATTAAATTTCCCAAGTCCATTTCTGAACAATTAAAATTGTTTTTGGCGAAAATAATTAAAACTCTGGCATTCCACCAAGATGTGATGAACTGTCAGATCTGCATTGCAGTTTGGGCAGCTGGGATTCTCTTCTCCCTTCAGAAGATACTCATGGGTCAGGCGACAATGGCAAATTCTCAGTCGAGTCAAGAGGACATCCTCCCTTCTATTAGCCATACATGGCCAGTATCCAATGGTGGGTTTTACATTCCTCAGCTTGTTATATACTTTGTCATCCCATTGCTTTTGACAAACCCTTTGATGTCTGCTAGTGGAATCTGAAGATTGTACATTGTGGTTGCAGTTTTAGCTGCAATATCGACCAATTCATTCCCCTTAATGGCAACGTGCCAGGGATCCACGAATAAAGAATCTGGTATACCCGAATTTTTAAAGAATGATTCAACTTCAGGATCCTGGTTGCAACTGGGTGAGTATATTGAGCGTGACTTTCCAATGACATTAAGGCACTCATGGAATCTAAATAAACTTTATGTACTTCTGTTTTGAAAGGTAAGTCAAAGCCAGATGGAATGCAGTAAGCTCAGAAGTAAGCATTTTTGGAATAAAGGGGATATTTTGTAAAAGATATAAATTCTTACCTTATAATCTGTGAAATCTGTAGCTGGAGGGCTCAGACTGAAGCCTTCAGGCAATTTAAATTCGGTAGTTACATCTCTCTGAAAAGATTTTAAATACTGTAATTGAAGTACAAAGTAAATAAGCGCTCAGTATTGTTGCTTATGAACACCATTCCTGTTAAAAGAATTTTGAAATTCTCGTAATCTTAAACGGTTTACTCTTACAATTATCTCACAGCATTATCGGCAATATATTAAGCTAGAAGCTTTTGGGACGTTAAATTAAAAAATAAGGTGACTGATCAGTAAGCATTAAATTTACTATTAAGCAACAAAAGTTAAGGTTTATATACTGAAATTCGTCGTGTCTTGTGAAGGTAACAAGACTTCATTTCAGCGATTCAAATAGATAATGGCTTATCAACTCTATACTTGAGCTAAATCCATCCACAAAGGCTAATAAAGACAAGAAACTGAAGCGCGGAAGTCTCTTTAAAATTGTTGTCCACCTTTAATGAGAATTTAGAGTTTAGAAAGTTTTAACAGATCTTTCACATAAATTTTGCGATTTCTTTAGAATAGGCTAGCACATTAACATTTTCAGCTTAATTTCTAAATTTAAGTTTAAACAAAAGCATGGATGCATGGGGCAACAGACAGAACCATCATTAGGTTAGGCTATTTGAATGCAGCAAAACTCATTGTTTTAGTCCTTTGTGAAGTGCTTTCTAAGGGAAATCTGCTTTAGAATGTAAGTAACTGAAGTAATTCCTGCACTGCTTTCCAAAGGAATTTGCCTCATCCTAAAATTGCATCCATGCGTTTGCTGGTCGAAATCGGAATCAAAGTTCAGCAACTAATCTTAGAGAATAGTAAATCTGTTCATACTTGGGTTGACATCATTTACATTAGTCATTTAAACATTAGAAGGGGTAAATTTTAAATATTTAAATAAATTCTGCTAGAACTCACCTGATCCCAGTCGAATTTCAGTCCGGTAGGGTCTCTATTTGCTTCATTATATTTTCTAAAGAACTCGCAACCTATAAAAAAATTAAGAGCTTGAAAATATAACATTTACATCCGATCCTGGAGATACATTTCATAGTTGATACGAGAATTAAAATATAATTCAATTTCATTACGCTAGGTTCTTAACCATATCTAAAAAGGCTGGTAGCAAGGAAACCGACTAGAAAGGCATAAAAACAATTACATTTTTGCGGTATCAATCAGTAGAATTTAACAGAAAACGGGTCAAATGTTTTCAGCGTCGTTTATTGTACTGAAGTTTAGTACCTAGTTTCACAAAATCTTTAGGTACTAAAATTCGCAAAATCGACGTACTACTTCAGTCCTATTCATTGCTATTATGGTATCACACGCATACTGCAAGTCGATCTCGGTGGATTTAGGATGTCAAGAAGAACTTACCAGGATAAGGCATTTGTAGTATCTGAAAATCTTCGTATATGTCCTTATTAACTTTCTCAGAAGAGCCGACACTGTAAGAGGAATATGAAATTTTGAACTTATTTCTGCATTTATACCGGTTTACTTTATAATTTTTTGGCGACGAAACCTCCGTGTCTGATAAATTTAAGCATTTAATAATCAAGTACAGCTTTTCTCCAGTGAAGCAAAATAACCGAAGAAAATTGGCATACTAAACGATAAGAAAAATCGTCAATAAATTTTGCCGTGGATGACTTATGGAGTGAAAAATTAAGCGACTAGAAGACTTAGTAGCTGAAAGAGGTCTTGGCGCCAAAAAATTATCTGAAAGAAAATTCAGTAGGTTTTTTTTGAGAGGAAATTTGTAAAAACACTTAGCTAAAAACTTACGTGACGCCAGTGTGAATCTTTCGATCTTCTACCATGAGATCAGATATTACTGAAACACCCAAATATTCCAAGAGACGTACATCCTGCTCTTTCAACTGGTTCATGGAGTTCGGATTACTGAAAATATTGATAACATAATCTGGTGAATTTAAGCTCTTAACCACAGAAATGCGATCTCCGGACCGTGATATCCCTACTTAAGAACAGTCACTTAACATTTAGTTTTCATGGTATCAGCATTTCTCAGAATGGTTCTTAAAATCAACCCGTAATTTAATAAAAGTCAGCTTATAATTTGCTGATTGGTTATACCACTTATAATTAAGTTCGCACTACTGTAAAAAGAGCAACAATGATAGAGGACTGGTGTTTTTTTAAATCTAATCAAGTTTGGTATCGGGCAAGTTAAAATAGGACAAAGAATATTTAACTTGAATTGCCAAGTAAATGTGGTACAAGATGAGATAATCTGATTACGTCATAAGAACAGACATACCTTCGTAAAAGACTAGGGGGAGTTCGTTAATCATAAAACGAAAAATACCCTGCATTTGCTACCGATATTCGAATCGGTGTTAAAACTACCATTCTCCAGGCGACTTATCCCTTTCTCAATGAGCGAATACAAGTGAAATTAAATTTTTGATAATTGCATTGCGAAGCTTGTGTTGTTGCTTATGTTCGCTTGTTTGATGTAGTCAGCTCAAGTCTACGAAATTCCTTGTGGCAGGGAGAGCAAGATTACGCCTGTCGCTGGCAACAGCCTTGAGCACCTAATAGGTGGCAGTGCGATTTGGCTCAGTTCCACCCCCAATTTTGATGGGGAGCACTCTGGAGGAACATTAAACAAATGCAATTCTAAAGTTGCAAGCTTGGTTTTTTAACCGTTAATTAAAAAAGGCATACAAGACCTATCTAACGAAAGGAAAGTGTGGCCTATAAGAAGGTTTAAAGAAAACCATTATGGATTTAAGTATTAACTTTGGCTCTTAAGTTTAATGAGGTACTTTAGGATTTGATAAAATTACTTACACAAGGGTGGTGAGGGAAGAAACCACGTTTGATCTCGAATCAGGTATGGTGCTGTAAAGGAAAATTGAAACCTTTAAACATTATGCGAAAGAAAACAAGATGCAAAAAGCTTAAGATCTGTTAACAGTCATCGAGCTGTAAACACGGAGTTTAGAGTAAAATATTTGCTAAAATCACATCAAGAAAGTTAACTTTCTAATAAGACTTCTGGAGAGTACTGCTAGAATTTTATAATAGCTCAATGAAGAAAGTTATTTAACTAAAAAATACAGTATTCGAGAAAATCTTGCTAGATATCGACGAAGTACGTTAGAAATAATGCCTTCAAGGATAATCTTAAGATAAGCATAGCCGATTTGCACCGATGCATCCGCGAGAACTTGAACCCGGACACGAAACGAATACCTATCGAGAATTTCCTGTTCCACGACTTAATCCACTGTCACTTAATTCCTGGGTTTTTAAGAAGTAGTTAGGGCGATTATACAAGTTAAGATAATAAAACAAACTAAATGTAGTTAGGGTTGCCATTGATTTCAATCCAGTGTTTGAATTCGAAACCTGATTTTGGATTTTATCAACAGCACTACAGCTATAACATGAATTTTTAGGCCTTGTTACAGACATTCACTCTTTAAACATTTAGAATTAGACAGAGAACATATCCCAGTTGGAAACGTAACTTATACGCACTCGTCTGGCTGATACATCTTACCAAGACAGCAGGTTTCGACGTTTAGATACTTAAATTAGCAAAGAATTTCGTCCAGTTGGAGAAACTGGCGCGCTAAAAAGAGCTGGAAAGTAAGATCTATTTGAAATACAAAGTCATGACTGTTCAAAGAATTTACCAACTCATATTAACCAATTTATTCTACGAATATTTTCTGTACGGAAATGGATTAAATTTTCATGGTAGAACACCTACAAAAACATTGATAAACAATGGTAGGTTTCAGGAGCGTTAAACTTGCAGAATGTGAACTGTTCAGCAACAGATCTGCTTTTACACCGCTTTGTTCTCGCTTCTGAGAAACTAGGCGTAAAGCGCATGATCTGGATTGCCTCCGAGTAAAGCAAGGCATGGCGGTAGACCTTTAGTTGACGATTTAAGCCACAATGTCGTAAATTTGCGAGATCATAGATTGTTCTTAATGGTCACCGTTAAGGACCGTGTTTTTCTAAAAGAATTTACTCTTCATTTTAACGTGTTCTGTACAATACTTAACCTATAGCATTACATATACCAGGCCTATAAGAGGATAGTTAGGAACTGAACTTCATGAAGCTGATGAAGGGTAGTTATAATATTAAAGCACGCAAAGACGAAAATTACACGAAAATGGCGCGTAACGCATAAGGAAACTACAATTATGCAGGTAGCTCAGCCACATGTAGGGGGCTAATATTTCAAGAAAAATACATTTAATGACAGCTTATATATATAGATAGTTTCCAATAGCTACAATATGGCCGTCAAAAGGAGGCCTACACCATATTAATAAGTTAAACTTTAGTAGTAATAATCCGCATGAAAATTTAACTGGAAGTGATTTACAATTAAGAGACCATTTAAAAAGAAAAAAGCTACATACTCGATTGTGTCATTGGTCCGAGTGGTACCATCATGAACCATTTCTGCTGAAAAAAAGGTTTTGTTTACCATCAAAGCAGCAAGTAGATAGTAGTAGTTAACGCAAATATGGTATCTTAAAAACTACCTTTTCGTTCCTTAGGTTGCGTCAGCTGTTCCAAAACAGCGCCTTTCCTGACCGATAAAGTTGCAGCCCGGCAAATGAACTAAAATTTAAATTATATTTTAGCAAGTACAGATGAACTAAAGTTGAGGCATATTTCGTATCTGGATTGTCAACAAATAGTAAACAACTTGAATAATTCTTTTAGACACGCAAGAGGATTGCTGGTAGAATAATGTATAAAACTTAAATTCTATTTAACACGCGTAAATTGGCAATTTTAAGTGTTCAAACCGTTCTAAAGAGAATTTGAAACCGACTATTAGCAATTATAAATTTATATTAAAACTTGCCAACACTGGTTTGGAAAACAAATCTAATATATTATTAAAATTAAAAAGGATAAAGTTTTGTCTTAGAAATACTTTCCGAAGAAAATATTTAAGATTTCATGAAGTTTTTAATGAAAAAAGCAAATTATTCTAGCAACGAAAATGAAATTAAGTAGTTTTTCAAATTAGATTTATTGCTTTTATGATTCATTAAGTTATTCCAGTTGTCATCTCGAGAATTTTTAAAACTAGACCACTCGAAATTTCAAGTTTTTGTTACACAAGCTTAGCACTTCCGAATAACTTGCTTATTTTGAGACATTTTCGGGTTAGACCACCTTATGCAATATGCCCGTTTCAGCAAATCTACCTTCACGATTTCGATAGCTTTTTGCGCAGAATACCGTAAATCTAGTGTACTATGAGACTGCGATAGATGCAGAGCATTTAAGATATCGCTGGCCTTCAACTTGATTTCAATGTGATGATTATTGAGTATACTTGTATCTGACAAACCGTTTACACAGAATGTTACTTTTATTCTTCGAGTTGCAAATGAGCTTAGAAATATAATGGTTGAAACTGTCTTGCTCGCTTCTTAAATCTGCCTTTGGCATGTATGTATTATGTATTAAAGATTTTCTACACAAAATCAATACTGAATACAACATTTAATTGGAACTAAGCATGTTCCCTTAAAGCATTTTACAGGTATTTTTTTATCAAGATCGAAACATGAGCATTAAAAACGTTTATTGAAAAGGTATTTACTAATACTCTCAATTAAGCTTATATTAAATTTTTTAAAAAACTTTCATACCTGGAGCGAACGGGATTGAGGCATTAACACTCCTTGAAAATATATTCTAGACTTACATAGTAATCTTTCATTACGATCAAATAACTAGAACCAAAGGATTTTTAAACTGGTAAAAAACTTTGCCAGTATCTGTATTACGAATTATTCATTTCGCCAATTTTTTAAAAGTGTTTCAAGCTATTTTAAGTTCATATTCCATATTTCTAATTTAGATTTTTGATATTCTTATACTAAGTAAAAGGATTGGAAAATCACTAAACATAGATCAAATCCTTCACATACCACTGCAGAAAGATGACACGTTTTGAACAATTCCGATAAATTAAAATAGAAAATGTTTTCAAATAAAACATTCCAGGACAGAGTTCCTTATTTGAAATTAGAAAATTCGTTTACCAATTTTAAATTTATTCTTTCAAAATGTCGCATGTAAACAAACTGCGTTGAAAGATATGATTTTGGGTTTTTTCCGATGAGATATTCCTATTTCGTAATTAAAAACGTCTCGAAATGCAAGAATTAAAAAATTTTTGAATGAGAAAGCATTATTTCATGGGAAAGGAAAAACATCAATCATACCTGGAAAGACCTCAAACGAATACCCGAGAAAGTTGCGCACCGTTTTCAAAGTTTCTAAAATTATATCGTTGGCAACAAAATCCACCGACGCAGGAGTCGGTTGCAAGTTTTAAACACATCTGTAACAGTAAATAAAACAAGATTAAAGCTAAAACATATATGCACTAGGTTTTAGCCGAGGCATGTGGCTCAACTCTGAGCAATTTACAGAAACTTGTATGAAAACTTTAGCAGGACAAATTGAAATACATTGATCTATGAAGCCAAGTTCACCTAAATTACCGCTTCCAAAAACTATTATTGAAAGCAAACGAGTTTGTCAATACAAAGAAAGGCATTTATGACTATAGCAAGATTCTCTTTCAACAGGAAGGTAAAAATAAAAAGAACTGAATAAATGTTAAAATCAGCTCAACGAGGATAAGCAGTACGCCCGATATTTACAGAAAAAATTAAATTTTTTTTATCTCAGATCTTTCCGTCAAGTCAAAACTTGATAGGACAAAGCAATAAGTCATACTTTGAAACTAAGCCTGCATTCATTTACAAAATAAAGACCGATAGAGGTATGGCACATACCTTTCCGACTCATTCATAGAGTTCCGACTTATTCATAGAGTTTCTTGTGCCTTTGATCTGTAAACTTTTTGAAGGACGGTGGTTACTGAAGTAACCACCTTTTCTATTGAACAAGTCTTGCTCACTCGTGTGAGTGGTTTTCAAGACCGATTGTTTCTGAAGTTCCCTTGAAGCCCACTAGATGGGAAATCAAGAAACATAAGCCAATCGAGAAACATAAGGCAGTAGTTTATGCAGCAATTAACCTTCAAGAAAATAAGCATCAACCATCGAAGACAACATCACGGCCATGCAGCACCACCAAGAAAAGGCCTGTAAAAACAGTGTGGAAAGGCAGCACATGCAAAGATATACACTGCTTGAAAAAGAAACTTTCCATGAGTACTATACAGACTGATTTGTAGGGATACGTTCTGTGGGCGATAGTCTCGGACAAAATGTGGGCAATTGTCACAAACACCTTCATATTAACATCTGATACAGTAAATAAGAGTTTTGCTGAAAAAGTTAATTGACTTTCCTGCTCCTCAAAGAGTTAAGAGGTATTTAAGCATGCTTGATGGATTCTGAAAGACAGTGGAAGAGGGACTGAAAGTAATATCCATGGAAGTTTTACGAAAAGACCTTCTATCAAGAAAATTGCGACGCAGATTTATAGTCCAAAGAAAAGACTATCAGATCATACCTTTAAAAGTGCTTTTTTGCATTTTATATATTCAACAGCCTCAAAATCATTGTAAGGATCTGTAGCTTTCTGCAGAGGGTTGAAACACCTTCTGCAGTAAAGCTACAGAACACTCAATTTCATGTGTGCATGTTGCGAAAACGCATAGTGGGCGATTTTTTTTACATTGCTATTTATTGTAGCGGAATGGAAGTTTCGTTTTAAGTAGCACAAAATCCATAGTTCTGCTTTAGTGTTCTGGAGTTAATTTAGCAGGAAGCGACTATTGTAAAATGAAAATTCTGGTTACTTTAACAATTACTTTGCAGCAACAAAAGGTGACTTTCGCATAAGTAAGAATTTAACGCTGGTTTTTATTGCACAAATTTAGTTAAGGCAACTCAATGTCAAACTAAAACCTCTAGCGTTTAGTGCATTTTAACGTAAGATTAGCACTTTTACTAAAAATTTGGGAATGTCTGATCGCAATGAGATTCATTTCACTGTATTTAGAGCAGAATAAATAGAGATAAAAGAATATTACAAACATTTAGGAAACATTGTGAAGAAGCGGAGTTTATAGCAAAGAAGCGTGGGCTCATAATGAGTTAATCCCAAGATCTCTACACAGTTTCACATTGGAAATTGGCACCTAACAATTCTCGTTAAAACCAAGTGCATTAAAATTCTTCCAATAACTATATTTAAGACATTAATACTGAAGTTCTAAGTTAAAAATATCCAAGTTCAAAAATAATTCTTTAAAAACCTTTAAGAATCCACAAATTCACTTTTTACCTAAATGGAATATTAACATCCTAATAAAATTTTATCTGGTTCAAGTTCCAAGACTTATTTCCCCGATACACATAATTGCAATATAGTAAATAGTTATTTGCAATACTTACTTTTCCATCCGAGAGCATGACAGGAACAGGGAACCGTGTTCTGCATCTACTAGGACTAGACGAACATGCCAGGTTTCGGAATTTCGCTGGCTTCAAATTTGAAGCGCATGATCTGGAAGATTAGATTACTTGCAACAAAACAATTATACTAACAATATTTGACTTCGGAAAGTTGAACACATTGAATTTAATTCTAGAGACACTGGAAATTAATTTTAGTTGTTCCTTGCGTGAAAGTTTTAGGCGCTACTTAAAGCAACTTTAACGAAGATTTGAATGCCAGCTGAGAACTGATGGGCTTATGGTAAACAGCATTGCTGCAGTAAATGGAAATCTCAATTTTTTTAACATGTTCACAATAGACCTTCGACAATATACCATTTTATTCAAATTCTCAGCTTTAATACAATCTTTAGTGTTAGCGTGATCAAGGTCTGACAACTTAGCTGTTCTTTACCAAAGCGTTCATGAAACATTACCCGTCTCATTTTTGTTGTTCTACTTCCGTTGATGGACACATGCTCCTGTCCCTAAGCGCTTCTCGAAAATGGTTTGGTTGGTTTAATTGATTTCGGCAAAGACTAAAGCTATCTGCCTAAGGAGAGAAATGCCTTCGTGAATGACTAAGGAGAACTGGCTCATATCCACGTTACATACGAGGAAAACCACTAAAGCCTTACAGCCAGCCCGTTCACAGGGATCCATTATCAGGTCGAACCAGTGTTCAGAGACTTTACCGCTCGGCCGATGGTGGGTCAAACCGTCAGAAGTTAATTTGAGAGTCAGTACGATACCCTTTAACGATCCATATTTTGCACTGTATGTTCCTACAGTGAATGAAATTCATAACCGACAATAGTATTATTTTCACTATCAGTCATTTTTAGCCATTAGCTGAATCTAGCTGTTATGAGCCCCTTCTAAAATGAAGTCACTGGTAATCATTCTTCAGCAAGCACAGAAAGGAAAGACTATGATTATCCAAGCATACATAGACCATTCGTCTGCTCGGGCAATCACATGGCATTAACTGTGAAATTCACTTGAACAGTACTATTGCCATATACTGTGGATTTGAAATTACCTAATTACTCCAATCCAGTCTTATGAAAAGACATTATAGCAGAAACATTTGAATAGAAAGAAATAAACTCGAGGAAGTTTATAATACACACAAAAATAAAATTACTGAAAGCCTTTTCCCTGAAGGTCCATCAGTAAAAACTAATGGTCCATCTTTTAATCCGTTGTGTTTAGTATAGTGAGATTTATCTTTGGCTCTACCTTCACTTATCAAATTCACTTTTATTGTGGTATTGTAGCTTTCGTTTAAAAGTTATTCATTTGCAAAAACACGTCAAAGTTCTATGACATTTCAACAGCGAGATACCCTAACTTGCCAAGGTAAGCATTTACCGAAGATCTTGGTTTTATACACCACACAAGTGTCAAGGAACCCCAAAGCTATTAGTCTCCTCGAGCTTCGATAGCATTAAGACACTTTTAGAAATGGGAAAGACTGGTCAAATTTTAAAACTGTCTCAAAAGATATATCAACACAATTTAAAAGCTTATTTTAGAACTGACTATTTATCAAGCATACTTAGACTAAAGCATGGTTTCCCCAAGAGTTGAATTAAAGTACAATTATCAGTTTACTTCAATTAATACTTCGAATATTTCAATCGAAAGAAACCGAGAGTTTAATTACATAAAATTATTTCTCAACTATCCTAAATCTCCTGCTAAAGCTATTGAAGCTAACTCCTTAGTTGCCCACTCGAAAAACTTAATGTTCCATCAAAGTTCTTCCACAGAACTAAAGAAAATCTTAGAAGGGAAAAATGACACAGTTTACAGAATACGAGTCTTACCATACAATACATTTTGAAAAAGGTACAAGTTTAGTTTAAGAAGGGATTTTGCTTGACAGCCTAAAAAGGAGTAATTCAACTACGGTAGAGCCATTTTCCTTGGAGATACCTTCGTGAAGGATTTATGGAAACTAATTCACTTTACACATAGGGTATACCCCAGCGAACAAGTTCCGACGAACCTATCCAATAGAATATGAACCCTGTTCGATCTTTCACTACTCAGGGATCTTACTGCAAAAAAAGATTTTAAACTTGATTGAAAGCAGTATTTAACGTTTCGATTTAATAATCAACTGAGAAGAATTCACGATTTTCAGCGATAAGACAATCCTAAAGATCAGTAATTTAAAATATTTTATATTTAACGTCAGGTGAAAGAATTAATTTGTTAAATGCTAATGCAGAACTTTACAAATAGCAAAATAGATGATTAGAAGAATTTTTTCAGTTATTAACCGATTGATACTTTGGCTATCCACATCATCGCGGAAAGTCGCCAATCGCTTGACGACTTAAAATTGGCTGAAAGGATTTGCTTTACGACCCAACATTCTATTTGTTAAATAAAATACGAGAAAGAACAATTTTATGATCAGTTTCATTTTGATGTAGAATGAATATTTTTTAGCTACAACTTTCACAAAACTTTTCAAAATGCTTAAGGGTTATTAAACAATTTCAGATAACACTTGCTACCTCATTACAAATACTTAATAAATATACAATTTTTTTTTAATTGAAACAGCCGAGACATTTTTCATAATTATCCTTACTACAAATTGTTAAAAATGACAGTAAATTAAAAGTTTGATATTTAGGAACGAAAATGCTAGCATTAGTACCGGAAATAATTTAACCTTAAAATCGAAGGGAGGAGTAATCGGAGAGCTTATTTTTGCAAAGAATGTTCCTATTAAATGTTACCATAACACAGCCAGTAATGAAACTAATAGTTTCAATAGCTTACTATAAAAGTAAGTAAAGGGTCAGGAAACTTGCTTTAATAGATAACTATTGATAATTCCATTCTCATTAGGAAGAAGCTTTAACATGACTTTTGAATTGTTTCCGTATGCATACTCTGCAACTCGGTATACAGTGATATAAGCAATTAAAGCGATAATCATGAGTGATGAGATCTATAGTAAATTATAGCCTGCTTATAAACCAATACATACTTTTACACCATACTTAAAAACATACAACAGTTAATATGCAATATTTGGATTAATATAGTTTTAGTCATGCATTTGTAAAACAAGCATGTACAACTAGATTTACTCACTCTTTAATGCATTCTTCATAGTTGGCATTCTTTTGTTTTCTAGGTATAATTATTTCACTTGGATAAAACTTAGACAAGGTTCCGCCAGTGTTAGAGATTTTCTGAAAGTTCAATACTAGAAGTTACTGTAAAATCCTTTTGCTAATTTTACAGTTAAAGATTAAATAGAATGTTAATACTGCAAGTACTTGAAATCTAACTTACTTCGCATTCGTAATCTTTTTCGTAGAGATGTAAGCAATTGGTAAGTATCTCTTTATCCGTCTGCAAAATAAATGCAAATTTATATTTTAATTTTAACTTGTCTTAAGATCGGTAAGAAGAAACCCATAGCTGAAGAGTACTAGTCAATCACATAATTTGGTACTTAAGTGTTAGCCCAGGTTGGGTATCACAGAAACACTTAACTAAAACATTGCATGCAAACTACGAAGTTTTTAATTGCATATTTATCCCAAAAAATCAATAAACCTACTTACAAAAGAGTGTTCTGGCGAGGCTTTTAATGGATATTTGTGTTTATCTTTAGCAACGGCGAAAATGAGATTCAGAATAATTTCACCGCAATTTCTTTCATTCAAAGAAATGTCATAAGGAAATGTTAAAACAGAGTGTAACACAAAAATATCTTAATTTGACAATAAAACTTTAAAAAAAACGGTTTCAGTGACGGCGTTTGTTGCCAATATACAAGTATAGTTGTTAAAATATTGCATATTGAAATTATGGCTACTCTTACTATTTACCTCAAAATCTCAAGAATTTAAAGTTATGTTTTATACGCATTGATTATCAAACTGTATCATTATTATATATAAATCCCTTTGTAAACACTTTCTCCTCGGCATTGTATAAATTACAAATAAAAAAATAGTTTTATTAAGTTTCTAGTTAATTATACAAGCATACAAAAATTACGAAATTCTTTTTCAAGTTTATTCATTTTAGAAATTCAATTTTAACTTGTTAAGAGTACCGAAATTTAAAACACTTTCATTCTAAAATCGGGAATTCACTGCGAGAAAGAAACAAATTTTAAAATAAAAAAATTTTGTTTGGTTTATTTGCTTACAGCAAAGTCTAGACAGCTGTCTGCCCAAGGGAAGTGCCACCTTCGAGAGGACTTTTTAAAGGAAGCTGGCTCGTATACACATTACACATCGGGAAATACCCACGAAATGTCAATGAAGCCAGCCTGTTCGAGTGTTTCGAACCTCTGAACGAACTACCACTGTTTAGAAAATAGAAAAGAAAGTAGTCCTCTCAACAGTTTTAGTTTGCCTGCTTCAAGGCCGTAAATGGGAAACCTGACACAAATTTGAAAATTAAAGCAAAATTAGAAAGCAAGTTAAACATACCCCGTTTACAGAAACAGCATCATACCGGTTGTTCTTAAAGTGTTTAAGCAACGATGCAATCAGTTCTTCTGTAATCTCTTGAGCGTAGTCTACGATGTCAGCGCTATCTCTATCCTCATTACTTTCGGCAACTTCACTCCTTGCTCCTAAAGTAAATGACGGAATTATAATCTTCACCTTATTTTCATCAACATTAGATTCTTTATCATGTAAATATATCCCGGCCTGAATTACCAGGCTACCTCGAATTCGGAATTCTATGGAAGGTCTTTCCATTGCATCTACTTCCACTTTAGAGCCCTTTTCCTCCTTGGAAATTAAAGTGTTTTCATCAGGAATAATAGAGTTCAGATCAAAAGAACAATCTCGGAATTCTATGGAAGGTCTTTCCATTGCATCAACTTCCACTTCAGACCCCTTTTCCTCCTTGGAAATTAAAGTGTTTTCATCAGGAATAGTAGAGTTCAGATCAAAAGAACAATCATCTACTGCTGAAAGTGTTTCATCAGAATCAATAGAGTCGGAATCGGATCTTGTTGAAAATACAGAATATGCGATGCCGAATACCTCTGCGAAAATTTTATTCCATTCTTTGGAGTCAATTTCAAAACTTAAGATATCAAGTTCTATTCCCAAAGCAGGATTTTCAACAGCTTCGCATTCAGATCTTGAACTGTTGACTATCAATTCTGAAGAAGGATCTCCAGTGATATTGCATCCAGAATTTGAACTCATATCTACCAGTTCAAAAGAAGCACTATAGTTTTCAAAACTTGAGACACTGACTGCCACTTCGGTAGAAGAATCTACCGCACTAATGCTTTCAGAATTTGAACTCATGACTACCAGTTCAGAAGAATGAGCTTGAACACCATCGTTCTCAAAACTTAAGACACTGACTGTCTCTTCGGATGAAGGATCTACGGCACTACTGCTTTCAGAGCAATTTCCTTTTTTGTCGTCCATCGTCGCAATAAACAAGTTCAAAATAAAACAACAGATAGAACTAAACTCCACGGAAATACCACGAAAAAGCAGCAGCGACTTTCAAGATACTTATTCATTTCTGGGTTTGACTATACTTTGATAGTAGCCAATCAGAAAAGAACATGCAAACTTTCGCAGGTCATCCCATGCAAATGAGCAGTTCAGTTTATTTTCTTTATGAAAATGAAAAATATATTATCAACAGTAAAATTGATCTCATTTCAAGTGGAATTTTTTTTTCACCTTTTAAAATACTCTGAAAGTTTAAATAAAGATGGAATTTAATTGTTTGGTTTTTGAATGCACCGAAATTAAAGCAAAACCAATTCAAGGATGCATCGCAATTTTTAATATATTTAATTGAATATTGCATATATATCTTATTTGTTGACCAATAAATATATAAATGTATATAAAAACCCCATGATCGTTATTTTTTATTTATATTTTTACTATAATCCAGAAATCTTGTTCCATAATTTACATATAGTTCGAACATGTACAGTGAAAAATAATTTAAATAGGTAACTTAATATGCAGCATATAATGCAAAAGTGTCTAGGCAATTTAATTCATTGTTACAAATGTTAGAATTCTTCAGAGTGGTGGTAGTAGTATATGATGGAATGTGGTTTTTCAAAATCATACATTTTCTGCTCTAGATAATGGCGGATATCTATACGTCATAGCTTGTGTAGGCAGCTTGAAACTTAACTATGTAATAAAATACATGGCCTTCAATGCTTTACTGAATCTCTTAGTCATTTAATAAATAACATCCATAAAGAACAGAGCTCAATCAGAAGATAAGAATATAGAATTATTTTAGCACTGCAATATTAATACGTAAAATTAAATCATCACGCTGGCATTTGTTTTTAGAGATGATGTTTGAGTATTAAAAGACTAAACAACAAAATTAAAAGCATTTCTGATTCTACATATTTATGGGCCAATCTATCGAACTGAAAAGAAATTTTCACATTAATGAACTAAGTTGCGGTTAAGGAAAATGCTTCTTACCGTAGCGTTTCAGGCAATAGTTTTGCACGGTAGGTGTTAGAAACAGAAAAATTTTAGCCTTAGCTTGACCTTAATTTAATAAAAAAAAAACTATGCATTAATTTGTTATTTTTCTTCCTCCTTTGACGACGAAAACATATTTTGAAACTACTTCTTAGAATAACTTCTGCTGTTGCTACCTAAATAATTTACTTGAAGAAGAGGTATCCTTTTACCAATGTTTCAAAAGGTTTCTTTTCTATTAAAATATGGCCAACTAGCGGTGGAGGAGTAAAATCGCTGAACACTGACAGTTGGGTCCAAGGTTCGAATCTCGGCGAACGGGCCGGCTGCATGGACGTTTTTGTGGTTTTCTCCATGTGTAACGTGTATACGAGCCAATTTTCTCTTAGAAAATCCTCCGCGAAGGCATCCCTCGTGTAGTAGCCCTCGTGTGCTTTGCCGTAATCAACTAAACCAGTCTTATCAAACAAAGTCAATCTTAGACTGAATTTTGCACCATGTTCCAGTTGGAACCAATTCTCTATGAAGTGGAAGATATTTTTTCCCACTTAGCATGGAATAAGCTTTTAAACAAGCGGAATTCCTTTCTGAAGGTATTTTCAGTCTGCGTGCCACATCTATGTAAAAATGGAATGTATGTTTTTATGATATACGGGGAAGGAAGGAATTGGCTTACGCTGAGTTATTGCTCTTTATTTCTGAACAGTTGCGAAAGTTCAATTGTAGAATTAAAGCATAGGTAAGCAAATGAAGAATTAAACAATGTTTTAAATATTTTACTTTATAAATACCATACATAATCTCGATTGTACTTTTTTAAGAAGAAAAATATTATGTAAATATTTATCTATTTACTTTGGCGGGCTTTAAAACAGTCTCGCTCTAAAACTCATTACAACTGCCTGAAGTTCGAAATTCAAATTTTGAAAACTTAATTTCGTACATTTGAATGCATTAATGCAGATTTTAAACTGTGAAAAAATTTATTGGGAAATTCAGATGCAACTATAAAGTTTAAATAAGATTATTGGTACACAAAAAGCATTATGTTTAATAAAGAAAGATTAATTTAGCTTAAAATTTTTTGCAAAGGAATAATGTCTTAAGTTATGTACTAAATTATATACGATTATAACTACCCAGCTGAAACAGACTGCTCAGAAAGTAGTACCCTAGATAGTGTTTTTAATGATTTATATACATGCATAAAAAGGAATATGGAAGAGCTAGGAATTAAATCCTATCGATTAAGAAAATTTTATAACGAAAAACACTCATCTGTTGTGCTGTTCTTGGTGTAGTGTGAATTGTTCGCGCATCGATGGGGAACTGTGAAGGTCCCTTGTTCAGATAAAAGTCCATTGTCTCTATTTCATTGATAATTCATCAACAAATTCTCCACTGCTTTTATTTTAAAATTAAACAGGTAACATCGCAATATGTATTTACGTTAGACTTTTTACTTTAGATATGTATTAACTTTAAATAATAAACCTTATAAGGTATGTCTCCCGTCTTCTTAACATGCCTTCGTGGTGTAGTGGTCAGCACGCTCGGCGCATATCAGAGAGGTCCATGGTTCGTGTCCCGGAGAAAGCATTGCTCATTTTTCATCTCCCCTGCTTGAAAAGAATACCAAATATCTCTACAACCTTATGATTCACTTTTCAGTGTAGAATAAAGAGAAATTTGGAGAATGTATTACGTTTTAAAGAAATGTCGAATAATGCAATTTTATTAAATAAAATTACGTAATTTTTTTTAAAAGTCAATATCTTAAATATTAGCAAACTTATCTCATATGATAATTTTCTATTTATATTTAACTATGTGTTCCTCAGAGAGCACTTCATGGACTTTTTCCCATTAAGCTCTTTTACATCTATATATTAAGATTATATAGATGTAAAAGAGCGATATTTTTAGCTAGCCGTCATAACATATCAGAAAAAGCTTGAAACAGTTCATTTTAGTAATAGTTTGATTTAACGATGCTGCGAAAGTAATTAGTATTCAGAGTGCCACAAGTTGTAAATTTTGCACATTGGTATTTTCCTGGGAATAGTAGTTATTATGTTTTTACGAGATAATACAGTGAAATCTTAGTTTACGAATTTAATTCGTTTGTAGAGTCATTAGGTATTTTTTTAAGCAGGACGGATGAAAAATTAGCAATGCCTTCGCCGGGACACGAACCACGGGCCTCTCGAATACGCGCCGAGCGTGCTGACCACTACTGTTAACACGAATTATTGTTTACCATCTTTTAGTCCGGGCGTCACTGTGGATTCGTTAGGTGTTCTTTTGAGGCTGTACAGTGTTATAAATGTGTTCTATATGCAATGTTGCTCCTGACAATGTATTTACAGAGTTGAATCTGCATAATGTAATTCGTAAATGTAATGTCAATAATGGTAATGTAATACCACTATTATCTCATACCTCATATATAATGTCAATGCCGTATCGCATAGTGTCTATATAAGACATGCAATGTCATAATTATGTAAATATGTATATGCACAGAACTATTTATACGTGCACTGAAGTAATTTAGTTGCAACCGCCTTCTGCACACATGTAGTGCATGTGTACTAGCCCGCATGAAAGCTCTCCCAAGTTCATTTGCGTAATTACAGGAATAATTATTATGTTCTATATGTACCTATATGCAATCTCTAGTCAACTTTAGATAAGGGTGGACGTGGTGCTGTTCTGATTAATCTTTACGGCAAAGGGACAGTGCCCACGTCCACCGTCACTTATCACTTATCACTTATCACTTTGAGGCTGTACACATGAAACATGTGTGCTAGAAGGTGGGAGAAAATTAAAAAGCAAAATCTCATTTTCGTATGAAGCAACATATTTTTAAATATTTTTAAAATATAATTTATATTTAAAGATAAGTTAGGAGTATTTTTATATGAAATCAGATTTGAAGATTTTATTTCCGAGTAAAATATATCTCCGTTCGTCATACAAGCTCAGTTATCAGATATTTCTCCCGCCTTCTTAGCTTGCCTTCGTAGTGTGGAGGGCTGCACGCTGGGTGCGTATCCCAGAGGTCCGTGATTCGATTCCCGGCGAAGGCGTTGCTCATTTTTCATGACTCTTGCTTCCAAATACCTAATGTCCAGTGGCACCCATACTAAAAGGGTGGTGGATGATGATTCTCCCCTCCAGGATTTGGCGATCGGGTCCCCTAATCCCCAATCACCCTTTAAAAAAAAAGGGAGAGTATATAAGGTATTTCTCCCACCTTCTTAGCATGCCTTCGTGGTATAGTGGTCAGCTCGCTCGGTGCGTATTCCAGAGGTCTTCGGTTCGATTCCCGGAGAAGACATTGCTCATTTTTCATCTTTCCTGCTTCCAAAAAATTCTAATGTCTCTATACAGTAATGTTTTTTTTGTAATTTTACAAGCTTGTGACGGTTATTGCAATCAAAAGGTGGAACTCTTTGGTTCTTTTTCGAACTTTCAAATAAGTAGTGCTGTTCCTCAGAAGCAAAGAAAAATTTTACTATGTGTATTTTAAAAACAGATTTAAATGAGTTAGCTCCTAAACGATACTTAATGATTTAACACATAATTAACATAAACCTGTTCAACAGACAGGAGACTAAAATTCTTATTCGAAATAAGAAGAAATCTATTCTACATTATCGTGAAGAACTGAATGTAATCACCGAAATGGAATTAAATTTTCAAGTTAATTTAGGTCTGTTACTTTCTTTAACTATTCTATTCGCTTCAAAATAGCTTTCGTGATTTCTTTTGCATCAGAATTAAGATCAAACATTTTATATATTGTTAAAATTACATGGAATTTCTATTTCCCAACCCAACTACAAATCTATAACAATAGAAATTTTTTTTTCTAAAAGTGTTTAATAAGTGCACTTCAAGCCTTTGGAAAATAAGCGTTATCTCCATATATCAGAAGGGAAGGCATTTGAACAAAATATAGGAAAATATTATCTCCGCTGATAA